TGCTTTCGGATGACATTTACTGTCCACCAGAAACTTCGGTTCTGCTTGCATCATTTGCAATGCAAGCTAAATATGGCGATTACAGTCCAGAAACACACAAGCCCGGCTGTCTTACTTCTGACCGGTTACTGCCACAAAGGGTTATTGGACAGTTCAAATTAAGGTTTTATTTTTTTGACGTTTTCATAGTATTATCTATCTTTTTATTTATATTTTAAACAATGTAAAAACTTCACTCCTTTCCTTATCTCAGACTTTAATTCAATTGTTAGCAAATGAGCCATATTTGAGCTTTTTTTACACAATTATAGCAATTATAATTTTACCGTAGTTTGTTCTGGAATTATCTTGGCTTGTAGTTTGCTCCGGAGTTGTGTTGGTTTGGAAGTTTTAATTATTAAGCTATCTGTAACTGGAAGTTATTGTTCATTTGGTGGCAAAATGATATTGCTTGTATCAAATTTTGATTGATGCAAGAGGGAAGGAATTTATTTGATGTAAATTGAAATCATTGTCTTTTCAGTCCTGAAGAATGGGAGAAACGTATAATGGTTTGGTGGGCAGACCATAAGAATACGAATAGAGAGCAGGCAATGATGGAATATTTAAAAATAGCACAAGATCTCGAGATGTATGGCGTTAATGTTAGTTACACTTTATATAAATTTTGCTTTGTTTCTAACATATTTTTATCTCTTAATTGAGACAATATTTTCGAAAGACTTAGGTATCGAAAAATTTCCTACAGCGGAATTATGCGTTTAACGGGACTTTTATTATTATTGGTACATCTGACCTATTCCTTCATGCTGTTTTGTATGAAATTAGATACATAATAATTTACTATACACTATTTTGATTTATGTAACGTAATTTAAAGTGGTCTTTTCACTGAACATTGTAGTGAACTATGACACATATTTTGCTGCACGAAAAAACTTTTTTTATCGTTAGTTAATATATCATTTAATGGAATAGAAAGATGAAAAGATAGGGCTTTATAAATAAGATGAAAATTTGCCTGCTTGTGTTTTCCTTGATATTATTGCAAGAATCCCGCAGAATCATACAGATTTTTAGATTTATTTAGTCCTAAAATCATATGCATATATATGCTTTATTTTAATTTGTACGAAACAGTAGATGTAAATTAGGTAGCGGTATATTTTTTCTGTTATGGAAGAATACTTCGAAACCATTAATTCGTAATATTTGCAGTATTTTGAAATTCGTAATAAGAAAGGAACAGAGTTGTTTTTGGGTGTTGATGCGCTTGGACTTAACATATATGAAAAAAATGATCGACTTACACCGAAAGTTGGCTTTCCTTGGTCTGAAATACGAAATATTTCATTTAATGACAAGAAATTTGTTATTAAGCCAATCGATAAAAAGGCAAATGTAAGTTTTTATTTCTAGTCGTCCATAATGTCCTATTTTCATTCCCTCTTTTCAGTATTTTTCACTTCGGAGACTTCATCCTGTTAAATTTGTGAGTAGAATGTGAAAGAGGTATTTTATAATTTGGCATAGTGAAGTTTTAACCGTTCATCATTTAAATTTTATTTTGAGTGACATATCATTATATTACATCGATTGTAAGCAGTGTGATACTTCATATCGAAGCAGTATTCATGTTCTCCAGGATTTTGTATTCTATGCTCCACGTCTACGAATAAACAAACGAATATTGGCGTTATGTATGGGCAACCATGAGTTATATATGCGCAGAAGGAAGCCGGATACGATTGAAGTGCAACAAATGAAACAGCAAGCCAAGGAAGAACGGATGCAAAGACAGCTTGAACAGGAACGCCTTACAAAAGTTAGTTACTATTTAAGATAAAAATGTAAAAGCTAACATGAGAATGAATAAGTGCTGCTTTGTTCACTTTTTCCTCATCGAATTTGGATTTCTAGGCATTATGATCATTGCGATTTTTTTGAGTAATATGTTGTTATACTATATCAGATATGCTTGGTTGATGTTAGCCATGTTATTGAAAATATAGTGACCTGAAAATGTCATTTACGCTTCAATTCTGATAACAATTATTTTTAACAAATTGTAACGTTTATTAGGTGTGAAAGTTGAAATCACATAGTTCTCATAATATCGTAGAATATGGATTTATAAAAGATTGGCTGAATAGGTGTAAATATCACTTTTCATGTCACTTTATTGCATTGATTAAAGATTAATGCTAAAAGCTATAGGAAATGACAGCACGCGAAGCTGCTGAGCAAAAACAGAAAGAATATGAAGAAAGGATGGAGAAAATGAGGGAAGAAATGGAAAGGGCCCAGCGAGAACTGTTGCATGCACAGGATACTATTCGACGCCTTGAGCAGCAACTTGCGGAACTTCAGGTTTGAGTTAATTATGAAGCATTGTGAAAACTTTTGTGTTGTTGGTTATTTAAAAAGAGTTGGGATTGTGTTGATTAAAGATTTATTTAGAGTTGATAAGCAAAAACGAGTTATACCAAGGAATAAAAAACGAAATTAACAGGTGCAATTTGTAGATCGCTAAAGAACAGTTGGAAGCAAAGGAAGATGAACTACGGAGGTTGAATGAACAACTGCGTTCAGAGCGCGAAATGAGTTCTGAAGAACGTGAACGCCTGGAGCAAGAAGTGCGTAGGCGCGAACAACAAGTAGCTGAAATGCGCGAACAAGTTGATATGAAGACTCAGGAGACAGAGCGTTTGCAGAGAGAAGTTGAAGAAGCACGGGCTGTTCAAGAACGGGAAAGTAGTCGTCAGTTGAATGCATTTAGCGTTAAGGAAGTAGATCTGGATGAAAATGCTAGTGAAAATGGACAAGTTGCCACAGGTACATTGAGATTTATATCAGCGAATGAATAGTTTACTACTTGCTAAATCGCAAATTATATCTCATGTTGCCATTGTTTGAATTGATATTATTTCATGATTTATATTTATAGATTTTCGATGAAAATTCAAATATATATTATATTATTCAATTGCAGAGTTAACTGCTCGTGGTGATGAGAACGTTCCACAAAGAGAACTTGAACGAATAACTGCTGCCGAACAAAATCTTTCGTTAAAACATAAACTTGATGTAATTTTGTTTGTTTGAATGTTTCTTCATATTTACAATGATTAGTATTGAGTGCAAGAATATCATTTGTGCCAGAAATTTAAATTGGCTGGAATCGAATTTTTAAATAGTTGACTTGTGTTTTATTGAATGGAATGATAATTGATTCCTTATGTATTTCAATATAAAGCATTCGAAATTTTAAACATATTTTGAAATGTTTGATATGATTTGGAATTTTTTAAAAATGCTCGTTATAGGCTCTCACAGCAGATTTGGAAGCGGTAAAGGACAAGCAACAATTGACAGAATACGATCTATTACATATGGAAAATAAGCGAGCTGGCCGAGATAAATATAAAACATTGCGACAGATTCGTGGTGGCAATACAAAACGTCGTATAGACCAGTATGAAAATATGTGAAAACGATTTATCTCCTGTTTTTTCTATTTTCTTTATCGTTGTGCCATGCCATCGCGATTTTGAATCTTCTCCAATGGTCAGTGCGCTGGTTTGCTCGTTTTCAGTTATTGAAATAAGCGGCACCACTTATCATTGAAGTGTTAATGCTTCCAACGAACTTTAATTTAGTTATGGGCTTTGTTTTTTCTTGAAGAAATTGAGTAGGAAAATTGCAGTTTCTAATATGAAAAGCAGATTCATTGAGGTCAAAATTAGATTTTCGAAATATTAATTAATTTCCAATGATGTTACTTGCTGTTGCTCTTTACGCTTTCCTTTGCATTTTCAAGTTGTTCAGGCAGTTATAACCAAATTTTATAGCGTAAAGTTCATTGCATATGCTGGAAACTGGAGTGTTCTGTTTTTGCATGTTTTATCGTCCAGTGAATTTTGATCACACGTTATTCACAAATTGTGTTCTGTATTTTCGCCAAAATTCATTCCCACTTTTAATGTCCTCTATTGGTTACTTTTGCTTCTACTAACGTCATTATTGTTATCTGGGAAAATCTTCATGCCCTCCACATGTGGATTTTTTGCTTCAAAGATTATGGGTGTTTACTTGATCGTGCCTTTTCTGCAAGTCATTAATTTTCTCTCATCCTGCTGCAACTTATCCCTGTTTTAAAAAAATGGCCCAGCGAATTTGGAGTTGATGATCACTATTTCGTTCTCCGAATATTGTTTTTTGTGAGGATTATAGTTCCAGAAGGTTTCTTCATTCATTCTGTCATGCTGTCTAGCTATGTATTAAGCAGGTTTCGATCGGTTTACATTGATATTCAAGGGAAGAAAAAGCGGTTGTTTATTGCCTGTTGAGTTTTAAGCTATGAAATTATCTTAAATTCTCTTTGTTTTCATTTTTATTTCAAACCCATTTGTTCATGTCCTTTTCATTCATTTTATTCGCCATTCATATAAATGGTGATGCAAAGTTAAATAATCATTTGCCTTATTTTAAAAATAAAATGTGCTGGATTTTACAGCCAATTTTATTCTTTATTTTTTTTTGCAAAAAATAGCTTGGGGAATGTACTATTAACGTCATTGGAGAACTTGCGTACTTTGTTTACAGTTAAGGAGGAAGAAAGCAAATATTGGACAGGTTGATTTATTAGGATGAGTTATTATAAAAACTATAATTCAAGAACGGTCATAATCCATAGGAAACATATTTCTCGTTGAATCAACTGGATTCATCTCAAGGAAGCAATCTGTCTAAAGTCTTGCTATTTATTCTTTCATAACACTCGAGATGTTTGTAACTGCTGAAGTACACTGTCCTGATGGGCAGTCAAAGAAATTGCTTATCAGGAATGATGAGGCAAAGATGCAGATTTCTAAGATGATCTAACATGTATTGTATTAGAATCAGAAGGGCAGTACTTATGAACCATTCTGTGTAAGAGCTTCAGTTTTTTAAAGCAGTAAATATCGGAGTCGTCATGAAATGCGTCCTCTTTAGGAATTATGACAGTGGTGTATAGGAATATATTGCTGTGGCGAAATGCGTGTAGCAGAGTAATATCTGGTGGATATCGAAATATATATCTCATAACAGTAAAGCGACAGAGTAGTAGACCGCGATTTCCATTCTTCAATAAGCATATGAAAGTGACTGATCCAGCTCGCCAAGATCCGGACCATTTTGAAAAACTAGCACATAAAGTACCTCTTGGTTAGTTTGTTTATCTTTTTCTGGAATTCTTTATTAGATATGCGCAGGTAAATTGCCACTAATTTATTTGTAGGGAGCAAAGTTTTAAGAATGAGACGATATCAAGACATAAACAAGCGGAGCATAGATATAAATATGCAACAAAAAAAGAATATTATTCAGCATTTGTAAACAGTTTCCGAAAGATCAGTGAATTGTAGATGTTATTTTGAGATGAACGGTATGTGGATACGTTATCACTTTTATGGAAGGAAAAGACAGGCAGCGAACGAGAAGTGACTTTCAAAGGCGATGATCGAATGATTGGGAGGAAGCCACAAAACTGGGTACCAGAAATTGACGAGAATTCGCCCAAAGCTAATTATGCAGAACTAGACTGGGAAGAAATACCGGAATCGGTGAAGAAAATTTTTAGGTAAAAAGAACTAGATTGATATTTTGTCGGTTTAAATAACCGCTGAATAACGTATGTGATAATTATATTTCAAAACATGTTGATTATCTATTTTAAGCATACTGCTTGTCGTAATTATGAGATAAATGGGTTGGTTGAGTATACCTTTCATTACGGCGTGAAAGTGGTTGGCAATCAGTTGGCAAATATGCAAATATCATCGAAAAATAAAAATGGAATTCTACACTGTATATAATTATTTTAGCCTAGTCACTGCATACATTATTGGTTTTTCATGATGGTCTATTTAATTTTTTGAGTTGAATTTTTTATGTTTCAAGCTCCAGTTTGGTAAAACTTACTTCAATTTGTTTTAATTTTAATTAATTAAAAACTAACATGAAGTCATGTGAAGTATTGGCAAAGGAAGTTGAATAGCGAGAATTTCATGAAGTCATTTTATCGAATTCCTAGTTTTCTAAATTTGACAATCTTCATTTTCAGCATTAAATTTGGCGAAAGACGAGATTATACAGATGCCTGGAAAAAAGCTTTGATTGACAAAGTACGAAAGCATGAACTCGACATAAATTCATTGGAAGTTAAAAGTAAGTTAGCAAAATTAAACTTGTAAGAAATTTAATTAAATCTGATGGACATTTGATGCATTTTTCAAAGTCATTTTAAAAACAACTAAACGAAAGTTTCAATACTGAAAAAAGGTTAAGAATGTTAGGCTATAAATTTTTGAACAGAGGCATTGTTGGAGAAAAATTTTGTTGCTGTACTTTGTACGATTTTAATTTTCACCGAATTCAATGAAAAATTATTTTAGTTGCTTGGACAACCGGTGTAATACGTTCGTGGACCTTGCTAGTTCAGGAAATAGATAACAAACCAAAGGTATAATGCATTCTATTTTTATTTCTGTTTATTTCAACTTGGTTCAGTTAAAAATTTTTATGGAACTGGCTAAGTTGGTGGTTACTAGGAACTGTAGAATCTAAGTTGGTCATTGCTAAGAACTGTAGAATTTGATATCGACTTATAATAATTGTCTTGTGTAGTAATATATGGTTGTTTGCTTGACTATTTTTTTTACAATATTCAAAAATCTTACAACAGAAAATTGCGTGATGTTAATTGGATTTAAATTTTATAACGATCCATTTCCATGAAATTCTTAAATTCCAAGACTTATTTTGAGAAAAACGATTGAATTTCTTTCTGTGCCTTCATTTTTTTGTATATTTAATCCATTTTTAACAATTTCTTTCAAGTAACACTTAATGAAATTTTTTGCAGAAGCCAGCTCATATTATATATCCTCTTCAGTTGATGATAGCATTTCGTCGAAAACTCTTACGGCAATTACGTGAAGTAGATACAGCAGCTTTTGAAAAGGTCTTATTTCATAAATAACGGAATGAAATTTTTTTCTGTAGAATATCATTTTTGCTTTTGCTGTCTCCGAACAATTTATTCGTAAAATTTTGATGAATCTGCAAGATTATGTTTTAGAATTAGAATTTAAGGTGTTGTCGGAATTAAAAATCGCTTATCACGTACCGAAACGTCCGGAGGAGCAGGTTGAAAAAAGACGAAAAGCATGGGTGGAAGCTCTGTTGAAAGAAAGAATTGCAATGGAAAAAGATATTAAGATGGAGGAGTTAAATAAGAAATATATTGCTGAACGGATAAAATGTGGACCTGAAGTAATTTGATAGTTATATAAATTCTCACAAAAAAAGATCATACTTGTGGTCTGAATTTTTTTACAAAAGAAAATTTTTTTAGGCAACATAACATTGGAAAACATTGAAAATTTTTCGAATACTTCGATTACGCTATTATTAGTCTATAAATATCTTTACAAAATTTGCAGATAAAAAATCGTCTGGAAAAATTGGACACTGAAGAAACAAAAATCAATTCACGTTTAAAAGAACTTGCAAAAATTCAAGGAGAAATGTCGAAAAAATTGCCAAAATATCAACCGAAATTGATAGAAGAATTATCGGAAATAGCAGCTCATGCAATTTTATATCATCGCCCCGAAGATTCTCAACGTAAGGATAGATTGCTTGCCGCATAAATGAATTAAAGTTACAAAGATATCAATTACTTTTGTTTTGTGACAAGTGCGGTCTAGATTTCACGGAAAACTAACGGAAGAGAAGTAGTAATATTTGATAAAGTTAATCCTTCCCTCCACTTAACCATTGAGATTCGCATCAGAATCTGCCATTCTAATTATTTCTCGGATGTTGTAAATATGTGTTCAATTTTTAAACCATTTTGAAACTTATAACTTTAAATTAAAAAGAAAATAAGTTACATAAGAGACTGATACGAGTAGTAAATATTGTGTGTTCAGGAAGTAATTGCTATTTGCGTAAAGTCAACTCTTGATTGTTATGTTATATGTAACGCATTTTTCTGCTTTTTAAATATAATTGTGTAAATAAATTCCGTTTTGTTTATACAGCAACAATCTTACACGAAAACATGAATGTTTGTATTTGTCGTTTGAAATTCCCTCTCTTTCTTATTTGCCGAGCAAATGCTTGATGGGCGAGCACTATTCGCTGAAGTAGTTTTCACCATTGTATATATGCGCGAGAGGGTGGTATTACAAGTCCGCGTATTTGTAGGTCAGTCAAAGACCATCCCTAATGCCAGCGGTGATGTTGACTTCATTGCTGTCAGATGTGGTCATCAACCCTATTTTATGTCCATCCTATCAAATTCTCTTTTAAATATTCTCTTTCTCTATCTCTCTTCTTTACCGCTCGACTTTTTATCAATTTCATGAATTCAATCATTGTGAAATTTGAGACAGCAACATGTAGCAACATGTTACTGCGCACCAGATATATGTATATATCGAAGATGTCACTTCAAAATGCTTTTCCTGTCGATAATACCTATCCATTTATTTACCTTGTTTACAATTAGCTAGAAGCATCCAATTTATCTTAGCTTACCTATTAATAAATTTTAAGTTAGACAAATGCTCTACTCGAAGATTTGAAGTGAGAAGATTTTTGCGTCCTGCGAATTGATCCGTTCTCCGTGTTCACTGTGAGAAGTGTTACAGGATTCATTTCACTGTGAAATGAAATTGGGGAAAAATTTTTTTCGTAATGGAAAACTATAGCACATGAGAATAATGTCTGATGAAATACGAAAGGATAAATAAAACGACAATTGATTTTTCAACAATTTTTTCTTTAAACATTTATTACACGCAAATGGGTGTGCTTTGTTGAAATGCCTACAATTTTTTTATGTGAATTTCATGGCGGCGAATAATGGAAAGTATTTTAATTTCGCTCGGAGTTATTTTATCGAAATAAATTTGCTCCATTTAAGAAATGTTTAAATTTGTTTTATTATTATTTTTTCTTTGAAATCACAAATTACTCCGAAATTACTTATAATTCTAACCATTGTAGATTAGTCAGTGTTTGTTATCGTAATTTTGAAATTTGACACTGTGATCGGCAATTGTTAACTTATTATTCAATTTTCTTCAAATCTTACTTTGTTAAATTAAATGTAGTGTTTATTAATCACACTTAAATATATTTTAGAGAATAAATGTTTTCAAGTTATTCGGGCATTTTTCATTTTACCCATGCAAGCTTCCTCCAACGGTTAATTTCAAATTTGTCGCTTAATGCTTACACATTCATAAAATTCATTTCTCAACAGATTGCATGTATGCGGACATTTGATTGTATCAAAGCGCCGCTATCCCGACTTTTCTATCGGTACGGTCGATATGTTGCGCAGCATCCATTGCCATTCATCGCAATACCGGTGCTAATTACCGCTTTCTGTTCCATTAGCCTTCTTCACATTCATCCTGTTACCGATCCTATTTATCTTTTCACTCCCAGGAATGCTCCAAGTAAGTACGAACGACAAATCATCCATAATCTATGGCCTTTACATTACAATAATTATATTCCCGGTCGAGCAGTAACACAATCCCGTGAAGTACAGGTACCCATTTTTGCATTTATGAAATGTTTCCACAACGTTCTTAATCTATAAAAGTTCTTAATCTTTAATTTGGATAATTTTACAAATTTGTTCGTTTATTCTTGAAGTAAATTATAAATTAGGACTTTTTCCAGTAGCAAAAATATGTTGCATAAAGAAATGCCTTAAAACTATTTCAATCATTACTATAACTAATATTAGTGCAATTAGTTGAAAATTCATCGATTAAACAAAAAGTTCTTGTATAATGTGCTGACAATTGGCAGGTAATAGTAGTAAGTCGAGATGGCGGTAATATCCTAGAACGACCATATTCTGAAGCAGTGCGACGTTTGGATTTTTTTATTCAGAACCGTGTAAAATTATATTATATGGGTAAAACATACAGGTAATGAATGTCCGTTTCCTGAAATTATTAGTTACCTAAGTTAGAGGATATACTACATATATCATTCATTTCTTCCTGATTTCTGCTAATTTTGATTTACTTTTTTAAATTCCCGTTCATTCAGATTTACCATTACTCCTCCGATGATATTCAAGCTTCTAATTAAAAACAAGAAATTTTAGAAAATTCATAGCTTCTAACTAAAATTGAACGTGAAATTCAAATATGCTTAAATTGTTTAGGAAAAAATATCTTAATTACTTTCAATTAATCCCATTAACCATAGGTACCATGATTTATGTCTGGAATGGCGTAATGAAGGATGTCCAGGAAATAAGCATATCCACATTGTCAGTGATCTTTATCAACATGGTATCAATGTCACATATCCGACTGTACGATTCGGCTCCGCGTATGTATTTCAAATTATCACTTTCCTGAAACTTAAATATGACTGAAACAAGTTTTGGAATTTTTACTTGAAAAGATTCAAAAATTTCGTCAGTTACAATAGATGATAAATGATGAAAATTGCTCCAACTCATACAAATAATTGAAATTTAAATAGCAGAAGTATTTCTAATTGATTGTGTTTCTTGTTATTTCTCTCACATTGAAAAATATAGGAAAGAAGAAGTGAAAAACAGGTTAAAAGTTTTGTAATATAAATTTCAAAATGATAACAATCTTGCTCTATCAGCTTTCTTTATCAGCAAATCTTTGAATGCCAAAAATGAGAATAACTTCTTGTGTCAATTAATCCCTTTTCAATAAGTTTAATTCTTTTACAAAAGGAAAACATTGATGTGTCTTTAAAACTTTTAGCAAAATAATAAATTTATTAGGATGATTCTAATAGAAAGATTAAAGTAGTATAGAATGATCACATGTAATAAACGATTTTTTTATATTCAAATCATTTCGTATCTTTCCCGTCATGTTCGAATTGTCTTCTCTACTCTGTCTTCAACATTGGGCAGTCTCTACATACTATACATCAGAATTATCGTATTATTATCCGTAAGTTAATGATAAAGCTGAAATGAAGGTGACGGTGATTACCAACCGTCTAAGACTAAATTTCATCAGATATTTAAATATAAATGACAAGTCATCTTAATGATCATTGATAACATTATCCATACAATTTTTCATCGCCCTTAGCACATTTACATCACAGTGAGTAATCCTTTTTATTTTATAAAATGATAGTATGCGTAACTTTATGTTAGCTTTTTATGTCACATCGTGCAATCATTTTACGAAGCGTAACTTTTAGAATCTTAAAATAGATTGTAAATAGGTAACCATGATAATTGAACATTAATATTTGACATTTCTGAACTAAGTTGTGATTAAATCTGAATTAAACAGCAACTGGTAATGTGAGTTTGCTTTAGAAAATTCATTATTATCGGAAACTCTAATAGTTATAAGTAATTAAAAACTTTTAAGAAAATTTAAAGAAGTCATTTATATACTTTGTGGAAATATTTCACTACTTTATGCAGCTTTGAAAAAGCTTTACAGGAGCGGTTATATTGGTGGTGCGCTTGGTGGGGTATCACTTTTCCGTGAAGCTAACGGTAGTGCTTCATTGGCTGGTGGTCTTGCTTGGTTTATGATATATCATCTTAAATTCTTTCCACATAACATTAGTTATATCTCTGGATTATGGGAAAAGGTGGCCTTTTAAAATTTTCTAATATATTACAACAAAAATCTGAAATTGGTTTCTTTATATTTAAATTTAGAATATATAAAGATGCAACATATTCTGTTTAGGAATTATCCAAAAGGTATAGTGCAATTATAATATTTTATTCAATTCCTTTTAAGCCAAATTTCCTCAAATTATATTAAATACCTTAAGGATAAAGTGGAACTTATTTGATGAAACTTAAAACCATAGTTAAAATTTATTCTATCTTGAGGATTATTGAATAAATAGTAATTTTGATATTTCGATAATATTTATTTTGTTAGAATATGCTTTAAATGATGATAAAACATATAACAAAATGTTTCATTGAAAAAAATTACATATAAATATTTTATAATGAAAAAAAAATTTTCATTTGTAGAAATTACAAGAAGCATTGGATGGCTATCCGCTTGATCCTTCCATTGCATTCACTTATTTGCATTCACAATCGTTGACGGAAGAATTGAAACGTAACGCAAATTCATTGATTCCACGTTTTGTGATAGCATTTTCAATTCTTGTTTCCTTCTCTCTTCTATGTTCCTTAGTCTTTGTCAGTGGAACATTTTATGTTGATTGGGTCCTTTCTAAGCCAATATTATCATTGCTTGGTGTTATCAATGCTGGAATGGGTATCGTTACTGGTATTGGAATTACTAGTTTTTGTGGTAATTTTTCCTTCACTTTACATTATTTCTATTTATTTATTGGATTATAAAGAAGATAATGAATGTCAACAACAAAGTCTGCTTGGCTTTTGTACAAATAATATTAATACCAATACCTTTAGAATTTTACCCACTAATAATATCGATATTTTGGAATTTTAGCCTTAATTCACTTCATAATTGTCAAAATACTACCTGAATATAACTATTACTAGAATACTACCTTACTGAAATTGACATTTTAGACGAAATTTAATAATTTCAGGTGTGCCATATAGTGATATTGTTGGTGTGATGCCATTTCTTTTGGTAGCTGTAGGCACTGACAATATGTTCCTAATGGTAGCAGCTGTTCGACATACCAATCGGGCCTTTCCGGTTCCAAAACGGATTGGCGAATCAATGAGTGATGCGGCTATATCAATTTTAATAACTTCACTCACCGATGCCTTTTCTTTTGGCGTTGGTGCAATTACTAGGCAAGTAATACTTTTCTTCAAGTATTTAAGTTTCTAAGTGCTTTTCAATTTTTCGGCACTAATGATTGAAAAATTTATCATAAAATATGGTATTATGCTGTTTGTTCGACATAGTTTTGCCAGCTAAATGGAAATCATCTTATACGTTACGTGTTATACTTTCATTCGGGAATGATTTTCGTCCTATTAATTTTTGATTAATAATATATTTTGCAGCATTCCAGCAGTACAGATTTTTTGCATTTACACTGGTGTTGCTATAACAATTACTTTTATTTATCAAGTAAGTCATTTCTTGTTTGCTTTAAGATGAACAAAAAGTTGTAGGGAGAAAACTCAAAATTATGAAGATTGTCAATTTTTTTTTCAAATTTTTTGAAATATTTGCCAGTCAAATAACTTAATTGTTCACCAAAAAAAGAGAAAAAATAAAACTACAAACAGATATCCTTCTTTTGTGCACTGCTGTCGTTGGCTACAGAATGGGAAGCATCAGGACTGCACTGTTTATGGCTTCAGCCAACCGTGCCGGATACATTTATCAAAGCAACATCACTTAAATGTCGATTATTTTGGATGGGTTCAAGAGCCGATCCTGACCCGAAAAATTTGGAGCAAAATTTGAAAGATACAAGTGCAAAAATATTCTTCAAGGAATGGTTAGTAAGAAATAATTTGCTAATTAAATTTAATTTCAATCTTAATTTTAATTTTATTTCTATCTATTCTATTGTTATCTATATAGGTTTGCTCCAGTATTGATGAATCCAGTGGTGAAGATACTTGTTGTCATGTGGTTCTTCATCTACATTGCTCTGTCTATATACGGTTGCCTTCATTTACGTGAAGGCCTTGAACCAATTAATTTATTAGTGCAAGATTCCTATGCCATCCCACATTATCGCTATCTGGAAAAGTATTTCTGGAATTATGGTGCCCCTCTTCAGGTACTTCTTTATTCATACCAAAATGAAAGTGTTAACACTTACCTTTTTATGCCGAACATGATCTAATTTCATAAGTCAGTTTAATCTTGGCTAATACTCAACTTAGTTTTAGCCAATATTCAATGCATTGCTTCTAACTCATATTATTGATATCACACGATTTTCAAGAATTAAATATTTGCCTACTTTTCTGGACAATAAATCTTTTTGACATTTAATTATTTATGGTGAATTTTTTAATTTTTAGATTGTCGTGAATAATGCGCCTGACCTGCGAGACATAAATGAAAGGCGTCGAGTACAATCAATGGTGCATGCATTTGCTAATACGAAGTATTCCATTGGTAAGTTTGTAAACGCTGATCTCAAGTATCGATCATTATACCAGAATCATTATAAATTTTTTGATTTCAATTTTAACATTTTGAAATTTTAAATTGATTTTGGAATATAATTTTATCAATTTTAAATGCTTATGAATTTGTAATCAATTTTTGCTTTAATTTTCAAATTGAGGTGACGATAGCATACAATTTTGGCTGAAAGAAATGGAAATTTATTATAAGAAAGAATTGGAAATAGACATTGTTGATTCGGAAATATACGGAATGGCGGAACATTTCTTTTCGGCGAAATCTCAGGATATCTGGAGTGAAGATGTCATCTGGGAAACTAATCAACAGGGTTTCTACAGTATCCGAAGTTTCAGGTACAAATATTTTATCGATTCCTTATTATTATGCTTTATTTTAAAGTTATTAACTAATTAACTAATTAAAAAGCTTATATATTTAAAATTAAATTTTTCTTGTTCAACTTTATAAACCTTGCAAAACTGCTAAATTTTTTCGAGCCAATGTGAAAAAGGACTTAATTTTGACATTTATCGCAATCTTTATTAACATGAATTTTTTTCACTAAATTCAACTATTATAGATTTTTGATAGGCATGAAACATATTTCAAAAACATATTACCAAGAAGATGCAACAAAGACATTCCGAGAAGTAGCTGAACACTATTCATCCTACAACATTACCACATTTTCACCTTTGTGGCTGTTCACTGACCAGTATGCCATTGTGATTTCCAATACCATACAAAATATTCGTTAGTTTTCTCATCTTCATATTTAAATTAAATATTTGATCCCGTCTAAATTCATATGTAATTTAATTTCAATTATAGTGATAGCATTAGTGGTAATGATTATAATTGCGATGTTACTAATACCACAACCACTTTGCTCCATTTGGGTGGCATTTTCTATTGCATCCATTGATCTTGGCGTTATCGGCTTTATGACATTATGGAATGTCAATCTGGTAAGATTTTTTTTGCTCAACATTAGATTTGAAATAAGTTGTGAACGAATATAAGAGATGCATGAGATTTATGAAAAAGATGGAAGAAGAGATGGTAATTAGAGAGAAGAGTTTACGAAGGGAAAGTTTCTTAAAAACAAAATTATTATCAGGATGCAATATCGATGATAACGATAATAATGTCGATCGGTTTTTCGGTTGATTATTCAGCTCATATTACCTATGGATATGTTATCTCGGCTGAATCTGCTCCCGAGCAACGAGTGAAAACAGCGCTTGGAGCGCTTGGATGGCCTGTCACACAGGGAGCGATGTCAACAATTTTGGCTGTTGTTGTTCTGGCTGATATACCAGCTTATATGATCGTTACCTTTTTCAAAGTATCAATTTTAATTTTGCTATTATTCACCGGAAACTTTATGATGGATGACATGAAATTTAAGTGAATCATAGAAAGTTTGCTTATTTAAATGATTAGTTAGAAAAAAACTGCATGAACTTAATTTTTGAATATTTTTAGACAGTGTTATTATCAATTGTGCTTGGTCTTCTTCATGGCCTCGTATTCCTACCGGTGATGCTTTCATGGTT